AACACACACACACACACACACACACACACACACACACACACACACACACACACACACACCTCTTTCGTTTACTTCAGTGTTTGGGACCAAACGTACATGAAACAAGCTGATTTCAGAGCAAAGCTCAACTTGTGTGTGAAGTGGTGGAAAGTCTGACAGAAGCACACAGAGCTGTTTGATACTGTTTGGAAAAACCAGTCTGGCATTTGGCTTTGTAGAGTTCATAGTGTGTTTTGTACAGTGAAAAGCCAGTAATCTCTTTTGTAGAAGTGAAACCATTGCGAGCATCATTTTCCTTGAAAGCATGCTGTTAGCTGCACCGGTTCCACATACAGTGCACGAAGATGGCAAGCTACTGTTAGATCCCGGCTCCTGGTCTAAATCCTACAACTTTTCCTTGAGTCTTCTCCCCAGAGCACAGCGAGAGTACACTGGATATCTCTGCCATTTGGACTTTGTTGTTTCCTAATCCCCCATCTAAACCCTGACTCAAAAAAAGAGATCAGACTGGATTCACGTCAGCTTGTGCCATCCTACCTGCCATAGCCATCAAATCATAAACTGAACAGAATCAGTCAATGTTTTCCCTGTTGGAGTGCATGTTAAACCAGAACAAGGACATTTGAGAGCGATTAACATTTCACACTGGTTTACCAAGCTCCGTCTTGCTTGATGGATTTGGAGAGGGTGCATTATGGAAGGTCGTTTCAGAAAAGAAAGGCATAACAATTAAAGGAGTGGAAAGTACACTTAAGGGAGGAAAAAAAAAATCTTTCTGCTAAAGCAACACACAATGCCTCAACTCAAATCATTTATTACAACTGTACTGGCGTCAATGCTTCCCCTGGACAAAGGCTACACTCTGAACATTTAGCAACAATAAAACGAAACTCCATCACATCAAAACTGGATGAGGGCTCAAACTGAAGACACTGAAGTCATGACTTCAATGCAAAACAGTCGCAATCCAAACCACACCAAAACAGAAATGCAAGGGAAGCGGAAGGTAGAAATCAAAAAGAAATCTGATTGAAATGCTGTAAAAGACAAAATGAAACAGGAACAAAAGAGATGCAGAATAAAGCAGGTGCAAGTGCAGGAGAAGACAACTCATAAGAAAAGGCTTCAATACTTCATGGGACAAGAGGCTGAAATCCATTATAGCCCTCTGCTGTGACAAAAATCATCATCATATCTGTCAGCAGGCCAGAAGTGTGCATTCAGTTCACCAGTCAGAAATCTGGTCTTTCCCTCTGGCAGCATCACTGGTCCCAGACAGATGGAGAAGTCAAGGTGACAAGGTGTAACACGTGGTCACTTCGTCTCCTGAAAAAGCCTCATAGGAACTGAGGACTTGCCGATGCCACTCCGACATCAGGCACGTCCTCTCATTGCTGCTCAACAGTTCCTCATCAACAGAAGCCACGACCGATGTGGGAAAAACAACACCGACTAAATGAAATCCAACTAAAAAATGGACTTTGACTGTTTTCAGTTGGCTTTTTCTTTCCATTGTTCTGGTCTGACAACATGGATTCATGTAATTATCTTTTTTTCCTCTTCTGTCAGAAGACTTTATTACTCTTGTTTCCAACAGGAGCTTTCACAGAACAGCATCAGTTCTTCTGTCAAACTCCAGAACGACCGACTTTGACTTAGCAAAGCTCTGGCACATAATCTCAGATACATCTGTACTTAAACAAGGATGCGTGAGCTTCACCATAGTTTCCCCAAGAAGACCCATCAACAGCGCTGTCTGCCCCATCTCACATCAATCATTTGTCATTTAACTGGCTTACACACTCAGATTCCTGCAGTCCTCATATATTTACAGCAAGATTTTTAAAAAACTAGAAGTGTTACATGCAACATTTGGCATCTTTTTAAGTCCCCACTTGAGCCTTAAATGGGGTCCATTTTTAGAAAAATAACAACCTGTCTTTTTCCCTTCAGTATATTGAAGCTTCTGATTGTAACAGAGAGGGGTGAGGGTACAGGTGTAGCAAGCTCAGTGGACGCACATATGTGAAGATTTGGTGTGGGTCATTAGCAAAATGCCAGTCTTAAATTCAGAGATGGTCATCTTTTTAAAGTGTCTCATCATTGCTTTACTAAAAGTGCAAATAGTTGCAAGTATGCTTTTTTTTTTTAAACCACAAAACAAGCTTTCTGCTGCTTTATGTGTGTGTTTGGGTGTGTCAACAGTTAACTGGCTGTGCTGCTGCCCAATTTTGAAATTAACAGCCTGGAGATCAAAGATAACAAGTCTTACTCAAGTGGGAGTTTCCATCTAGAGGTAGCTGTTTAGTGACCTTTAACACTGAGGGAAGCGTGAGTGGGATGAAGTAGGATCTTTCAGCATATTTAATATTCTGTTTAAAAGCTGTCACTTTAATTTGTTTCCAAGTGTAAAATATGGATGCATGAAAATACAGGACAAATTTTTTTTTTTTGTGTACAGCTCTTGTCATGTAATTCTCTGAGTAATTCATTACTACTTCATTTGATGAGTTAAATCCCTGCAGTGATCACATTTGCTTCTATATAACACTCTTTGTAATACTGGTTTGTCCACTGACCACAGCCCAGGAATGTTCTTATATTTGTGTCTGCATATAAGATTGTGTAAAGGCATGTTGTTTATATGTGGTGGTGGTGGGGGGGATTCGGGAATGTTATTGGGAGAAAATTACCCATGACCCTGAAGCATTGTTTGGCTCTCTCCCTCTCTCTGCAGCTCCAAAGGGGACACACACCAGCATGTACTCAATGACGGGGGGCCAGGAGGAGAACGGCAGATCAGGGGTCAAGTGGCAGGCTGCAGGGGAGCGTCTACGAGTAACACGGGGACACGGAAGGGGATTGTTGTCTTTACATCATAACAGGACACAGCAGCGGCAAAACCTCTGACGGCTGCCCCCAACAGAGGGGGGTGGAGTGACAGGAGCAAAGTACGCATGCACTTTGATGTTGGGCAGATGGGTCTGTGGTGAAAAAGAGGGAAAAACAAATAAAAACATGTTAACAGTTGACACAAATACTTGGAAAGCTGCACCAAGGGGCTTTATACATCGGTGGCTATAGTGTGCTGCAACAAATCCTAACTTTAATACCCACAAATCATAGCAGTTGTTGGTATACAGAAGTTGCTGACAAACTGGCAGTTGCCAACCCAGCCAGACTGTGACTAAGTTTTAGGAAAATAACAGATGAAATCCAAGGATGAGTACATCTTGATCTGGACAGAGTGTTAACTCACTGCCCTCGAGGACACAGTTTGTATTTCACACTTGAGTTTTGAATCGTCACCTCTTGCGGGTAGAGTAGTGACTCAAACATTAAAAGTCAATTTGGACAAAAAAAGTTCATCTGTGGTATCTCAGTAAGAGGGTGTAGGATGCGCTCTGGTGGTACCTGATTAAGGGACAAATGTGTGTTTCCAAGAAAACCTGTCTAGCTAGCTTTAAGGTCACAGGCCTAAGTATCCTCATTCAGGATGTTCACGCTGCTCATCAGCGCCTACTAAAAATCCATTTCTTAATACCCATAGTGCAGCTCAACAGCAGCTGAGCACTTATGTTCAGTGTGGTCACTAGTGACCAAAAGCTGAGGTGCACTAGTCTATGCTTCTTCATCTGTACTGTTCTAAGTCATCAGATGTAGCAGTGTCATCTTACATTATGTTCAATTTAAATTACGGTTATATTCCTTTACACCCAACCTTGCATCACATGTATTCCCTCTTAAAGGAAAAGATTGATATTTGAGGGAAATACACCTATAGCCTGTCCTGCCCAGACTTGGATGAGTAGATTGATACCACGATCATACCTGCACAGTAAATATGGAGCCACACATATAGACATGAGTGGTATTTTCTCATCTATAATCGTATAAGAGGGGCATTTTCAAAAACATTAGTCTGGAATGAATGAGTTCACTCAGATACCAGCTCAGGATTGTTTTATCTGGTATGACAAACCTCATCAGGGTGTCAGGCATTAAACCATCATTCAACATTAAGCCAACTAAACTGTATACATTTGTGTCACTGAATACAATTTTGCACCAAAATGGCATATGTTGAGTTCACACAGTGGCTGCTTACAGTACATTCTGCATATGAGTCAGCACTTACTCACTGCTGTTAGCCCACACAACTCACCCTTAGTCTCTTAATACCAGCGCGGGTGATCTGCTGGCAGTCATAGAGCTCGATGCGATCCAGACTATGGCAGCTCTTCAGGTGCTCCAGTGAGGCATCTGTGATCAGGGGGCAGTTATCCAGCTCGATCACCTCCAGGCGGTCGTGAGCGCAGGGGCCGCTGCCGAGGTGTCTGATGCCATCATCAGTGATCAGCTCACAGTGTGACAGACTCTACAGGACCATAGTACCAACACAGGAGCACTGTTACTCAGCTGTCTGTTAAAAACAAGCTGTGATGTGGTGCTTCCAAGTGCTACAGGAGCAAAATAAGTGGCTGGCAGCCACACACACACACTCACTCACTCACCAGGACTTGCAAACGAGGACAATGGATAGACAACTGGATCAGAGTTCCATCTGTGATCTGATACAGAGGTGAAAAGCAATAAATGTCACAATGCAGCCTACCTACAAACAACAGAGGCAATGTTAGTTATGTAGCTCAGACTGCTTATTTACCTGCACACATTCTTCTAAATCCATTTTCTCAAGCTCATGACAGTTCTACAGCAGAGACATTAAACAACGTTAAACTACAGTGCATGATCCACTGTGGGTCTGTGTATATTTTGCTTTTTGAGGTAAATCATTCCCAGTGTTTTTTCTTTTGTAGAGATTTTTGAATTGAAAATGAATCTCGGCATCAAATATTTGAATTCAGGAACAAAGAGTATAGTGTGTGCATGCCACGCTCACCCTTGCTAATGTAGTGAAGCCCACATCTGTAAGCTGAGAGCAGCGAGCCACTTCTAAGATTCTGCAAGGACAGCAGCGGAATAGAGATTTGCACAATGGAAGCACTGCATACAGTCCGTCACGCTCTCAGTTCTTGCACGCAGTGATTGGTTGGGACTTTAGATCTGTAGTAGTACGGCTTGAGATGACTTTACTCCACAAAGGCCCCTTTATAATTTCTCTCCCTACTTCCCATTATTACCTGAATCTTAACAGAATCTGAATCTTCCTGAATTATAAGCTTTCCACATTTTTAAGACTGTAACAAGTTTGTAAGTTTCACCTGTTTAAGGAAATTCTCCTAAGGCAAGTTATAACATCCATCTGCCAGGATAAATACTGTCATTCAATTAGAAATACTGCTGAAAATCAACTTCACACCCAAGATACAGTTAGTTACTTGTGTTAAACAATACAATATGAAGTCATTCTTAAATTAAATAATTGTTTTAATTTCTTTACAGTATTTAGAAATTTTCCATACTTTAGGTCAGAGTGAGGATGGGTGTAAATTCACCTGAGGCGGGGGCAGTTCTGTCCCAGGGCGTGCAAAATGGCGTCTGTGATGTTGGCACAACCCGAAATACAAAGAGACTGCAAGCGGTGACAACCCCGACAAATTATGATGAGGCCCTCATCTGTGATCTGCTGCTCACACAAAAAGATAGCATATGTTTGGATGGCATGTTGGAACTCACTTAAATCCACATCCCCTGTGAAAACATACCCACCTTTCCTCACCACATCCACTGTGAAAACATACCCACCTTTCCTCACTGGCAGCTGTCCATCAAAACAATCGATGTATGACTTTACATATATTCATGTACCACATTAACCCTTTCTTTTCTGTTTGTAAATATTACCCAAAAACCCCTGAGGAGATCAGACAGAGGAAGAAGTGGTGAAAAAGACAAAAGTATGAAGATTGAAAAGCAGATCGTAACAAAGGAAAGAAACAATTCTTGAGATGCAAGATGAAAAGCAGATATAGATGTAGAGGAGCAGATTTTTCCCCAGTATAACCAGAGAACAATATATGGACTATCTGAGCAGGCTTCACAGGCTACTGGTGATACAGGCTGGACATCGACAGCAAACTTTAGGTTGCACATTTTATTTAGAGGATAATAACTTTTCCCCTAGAGAAAAACATTCCAATTCCAGATAAGATGTGACTATCGGGTATTTCTGAAAGTGCAAACAATTTCATGGTTAATATAATTAGTCTTCTAGCCATGTTAACTGTACTTACTGAGCACGTCTGCAAGTTGAGTGTGACCAGCTCCGGACAGTGAGCCCCAATATGCTTCAGAGCCTCATCTTCCAGCTGTGGAAGACATTGACAGTCATCTGAACTCAAACTACATCCTCATACAAAGATCATCTTTACAATCTCCTGTTGGTGATCCAGGTCAACAGGTCAAACTAAAGGCTTTAAAATGACCACAAGGTTGAGATAAAACCTCTTGCAACTGAGCATGCATGTTTTGTTCTTTAAATTACTAATCTGTAACAACTTCATAGAAAAATCACTTTTCACAGTGTACCGCTGATATAAAAGGTGGCACTATATGAAAAGCATTTACATTTGTTGTAAAGAGCGCCTTCTATTCCTTTCCTCAGAAACATTCTATGTTGAACAGATGTTTGTGGTAGCAGAAATGTTTTTTATTTGGAAAATAAATCAGAGGAACTCAGGATAAGTGGTAGCCACTATGGTAGAGCATAGACCATATGCTTATGAGCAATAAAAACAATTGCACCCAAGAAGTCAGCAATGGAAGCAAAGAATAAGTTACATAATTTTCCATTTTGATTTCCACAATTAAATTTTATATTGAATTCAACTCATTAGGTTCCAAATGCCCATGCCAGCAACCCTGTTTTCCCTTCTCCAGCTCATATTATGTACCTGTGTGCAGCCCTTAAGGAAAAGGCCTTTGAGTCCAGGACAGGAGCGCACCAGGGCCTGGATGCCATCCTTTGTCACCTGATCACACCAGGAGATGTTGAGCTGCTCCAAGAAGGGACAACCCTCACTAAGAGGAGGAAAAAGGAAAAGGACAGATAAGAAGTCAAAGTACCTTTTGCGATATAACAAATACCAACTGTATAAATGTGATTAGTATAGATTTAATAGAAAAAATAAATAAAAAAAGACAAGCTAGTGCACAGTAACTTTCCTTAAGATATGATATAAATTCAGTGAAAGAATACACCACAACGTTGACTGTGCACACCTGAGAGCTTTGAGTGACAGGTTGGTGATTGAGGTGCAGGAGGCAAGATCCAGGTGCTTCAGCTTTGGACAGAACTTACTGAGACTATTACACGTGCTGCAGAAGAAAAGAATGAGCATCTGGCAGGAGAAACTGCAGTACAATGAATTAGCAGCACTATTATGTGAGCTATGCACACACCTGTCGGTGATCTTGGTGCAGCCATTCAAACTAAGCAGCTCGATGTTCCTGCAGTTCTGTGAAAAAGTCCTATGGGGGGGGAACATTGTGTGATGGTGATCAAACTGAACTTGCCCGTCTTTGTCTCTCCCCACAGTCTAAACTACAACCAGAGTTTCTTGGAGGCTACATCCTTGTCAAACTCACCTCAGGGCACTGTCACCCACACCGAGGCACCCCCGTAGGCTCAGCTTTCTAAGAAAGCCCCCACATCGCTTTGAAATGTTCTCCACCACACGGCCCTGCAAATAATATACATGTTTCTACACGTTAAAGCAATGTTAAACTAAGAGCGAGTCCTCATTTGTGTTGCTCTACTTGAGTAGGCGTCTGCTTTTTTGCAGCCGGCAAACTGTTTACCTTGACACTGCACCAGCGTCATCATTATCCATTCAGCACAACTTTCCTCGCTACTATCGCACATTTTGTCCTTGCAAACAATATTGCTAGCTTACGTTACTGAGAGGTCAACAGGACATATAACTGGTCAAGCTAATAGTGAATTTTAAAAACATCCTCTGTTGGACTTCAATGCAAATCACATCAAACAGCCTATTGTACTTATTGACATAGCGTACATTGTTGGACTCAAACAGGTCATTACAGTTCGATTTTTTTATTTATTTTTTTTAAACCACATTCGAAAGAAGGTTTGTAATTTGAATAAAAAGTGACAGCCCTATAGGACAAAGAGAGGAGTAAATGGACGGTCAGATCAGACTCGTTTACCTCAATGTCCCTCTGAAAGTCGAAGAGATCAATCCGTTGCCAGTTGCTGCCATCCAAGGCCAGAACATTCCAGACTGAAAGCATAAAAAAAAAAAAAAACCTGACATTTAGGGTCAGGTTTTTTTCCTCAAACATACCACATAGACACACAAACAAACACCCAGACAAAATAAATATGCATACACATGCCTTATGAACACCGACTCACCCGTGAGACCTGGGCACAGCGACAGAGTGTCACCACATCCAGAAAGGAGAAGATCCTGGAAGACAAACAGGAATGGTTTAGAGACTCTGATCTCCGCTGCCAGAAGCTTCCTCTTTACATTACAGCCTGCTCTCTACTCAACCCCGTGTCTGCTTCCAGTCACAGCACAAGGGTGTGAGTAAATCAGCTAATATTGTCTTTTACTGTCAGCAGTATAGGTGTGTTTACACAAAGTGAGGTTCTGAAGAAGAAGACAACCTGCCTTTAAGAAACTGAGCTAGGAACTTATTATATGATCCTTTAACGTAGTAAATAGCGTTTTAGGGTTGAAGCAGTGATACAGCAAGTACCAAAGCAGCCTGCCAGCCTCACAAACCAGGGCGCTGCACCTGGCCATGCAGCACAGAATCAGCAGCCACTGCACAAGCAGCTCAGCTGGCAAGGCCGACGAGGCTTGAGTTATGGCCTTCATCTTCTGTTCTGCTGTTTCTGCTCAGGGGCTCTTGAATTTTCTTTTTTTTTTTTGTCTGAAATCTATTTGGATGCTTTACAGCGTCAAGGATTTGTTTTTAAATACAGTTCCAGCATTGGTGGAGTAGAGAAAAGTGGGGGATCGAGGGAGAACTTGTAACCTAGTGGTTACTTTAGTTGCAATATTGACTAAAGGGTAAGTGAGCATACATTACACGACTGTGAAATGCATATTGTGTGTGTGTGTGTGTGTGTGTGAGTGCGTGCATGAGTGAGGGCTGCACAGAGTGGTATTTCTGCCTGTGTGTATGATTAGAAATGCTGATCAGAAGTGAAGGCAGGGGGTGAGTGCAGAGTATGCAACATGCTGTTGTCACTTGTGAAAGAACTGCAAAGAGTCTGAAATCTTAAATATGTCACTCACCGTAGCAATAGCTCCTTAGGCAACTTCTTATTGATGACCGCCTCATCACTGTTTGTGAACATCTGGAAGGGTGCAGAGGATAACATTACTCGTGGCAGCCTGTGTCAACATGGCTGTGACTCTCTCCAATCACTCACCTCATTCAAGGGCAGAGCCAAAACATAAGCAAGGATTAATTATGTTATCAGCTGAGATAGTTTCAATGTCAGGGCTTGGAAAACACTCAGGTGACAGAAGGTGAAGCAGCACAGGAGAGAGAACTTTGGGTTTTCAAAGCAAAAGTATAGGACTTTGCACTGCTGACGACAGAGCTATGAAAGATTCATGTTATCTTTCCTGCATACATATTCTTTCCTCTCTTTCTGTGTTGTTTACACCTTTGAGTTGGCACAAGTGTTCACATCACCATGTGCTGAAAATCTACACTGCTAATAATTACATTATATCTTCTGTTATTCTAAGACAAATAGCTCCAACTTCTGCAAACAGCTAACTCATCTCCCCACAAATAATTTTAGGTTCTGTGAGTACAAATACTAGCCCATAATCCACAGAATAAGCCTCAGTACACAAAGGTGCAATAAAAAAACATTTATTATAACCCAGCTACTTAGATACACATGCATGTGCACACACAAGATGTTTAGACAATGATGTTGGGGAGCATTTATTCAGTCACAAGGTGAACGAAGCAAGATCTCGCCATAATCATATAATCCACAGATTTTGAAAAGAATCTAAACCAGGGACAAGGTAATTGAGGAGTGTGGGTTTTGGTGAGTAAATAAAAAGTGCAGGAAGCCGCATGTTATTTACAAGGAGTAAACATCTGGGACAAGATCAACAGGGAAATTATAAGTCCTTGTCTTCACTTCCCTCATAGGTCCTAATGGAGTATACGGTGTGCTATTTTGATTATGTGTATCCTAAAACCACATTCGCAGCAGCTTCAGATTTTGAGGGACTTCCACACTTAAGCAAACCTTCTCATCGGCTTCATACAAACAAACTGACAGCTCTGCCTGTTAAAGTCAATGACTGGATCTTTAGAAATCCAGTCAGCTCTGAGTCAAAGCCTCTTTATGTGTCCCTGATAAACATACAAACTGCACACAGCTGTTTATGCAGGGGCTGCCTGCCAGCGCAGAAGTGTAAATGAGGGAGTAAGAAGAGACAGGCATTTCACATTTGGATTTGGGGCAAACTGACTCCGACAGCTCGCCATCCACAGCGCTGCTTTCTGGCCAAATAAACCAGGGCCATCTCCAAAGAACGAGACACAGACTGTCCCCTTTTGTAATCCAACATAAAATGAACCTGATGCTGCATGAAGGTGTGCATTTGGGTTTCTCCCCTGGTTAACCATAGTCACTGATGCAGCCCCAGCAGGAGGTAAGACGCTGGGTGAGCTGTAACCCCCCATCTAGAGAGCATTATAAAGCAAAACAAAAAGTGATAATATTTTTAGAAAAACATGTACTTTTTGTGATAATACCCCAACCCCAGATTAAATTGAGATTAGTCTGACACTTGTAACTGTGCTGGACACTGCAAGTTGACATCTTATCAGTAACTAAAATGTCTTCAACTATTCTGTTTATCTACTTCATCCATGAATGCAAAGAGCCAACAGATATATGAAATGTTGTCTACAGTTTAAACTGCTTCAACAACTCTTACACCAACACATCTGATTATACACAATGTAGTGATAGTGTCAGTCACAAAACAGTTATTTTCATATCCCTAAATAAAATTAGGGGTAATTAATGCCCGTCTACTTTTCAGATTACTGTAGTCTTTTGTTAAAGGCTGCTATACAAAAAAAAATAAATAAATAAATAAATCTACTTCACAGTACATCCATACAGAATATGAGACTTTCCAGTAGTCAGTATAGCAGTGGGGTTGGACCACTGTCCACATTTGGTGACATACCATACCTATTTTATATTTGGACTCAGACCTCTAGCATTCTGAGCTAACTTTGGGCTCAGTTTTGATGGATTTTAGTGATAAGCAAATATCCTGCAAGCCTATTGTATTTTTATTCTATATCCTTTCAATTATACCAACTGAAGTGCATAAATAACCTGTATTTAATTTCTCAACTGATACTGTCCCCGACAAACTAAAAAAATAGAAATTAAAGATCTGCATTACACACATGCTACAAATGTACACATTTTTCACAAGAACAACAACAAAAAAAAGATGTAACAATAAAACCACTGAATTTAAGACTATTTGTCACTGTAGTAAACATATAACCTATCAGTATTTATTTAGGAAATCTCAGACATTAGACTTCTGTCAGACAAACATAAAAAAGGCTTACTTACTAGTAATATATTCTACCAAAATGAAAGCTAACAGGCTATTAGGCTAGACTAGGCTATTAGACATAACTTTGGACAAAATGTCTTAATGACTTAAAAGTGCTTTGTGAAGAAAGCTGTGGCTAATTATTCACATTTACTTTGAAGGTAAGGTTGCACCACTTCCGGTATTTTTACGTGTCCGGTTAACTTGACAAAGCAGCTCCACCGTAACTGTCGGGCCAGAAGGCCTGAATATAATGAGTCGTCAGCTGTTGCACCGTTAAAGATAAAGAGAACCAGATACAAATTCCATGCTAGCTGGGGATTAAAAAACAACAACTAATGCTCGGGCTACACAACCCAATGTTACCGACCGGATACTTGTCATTTGTGTATACATTTTCACAAAACCATTGCGCTATACGCTTGCGTGGCTGCGACACAAAGTTTATGGTAGTCAAATGCTAACAACAACACTGTTGCTTAAGTGTGTGTACAGGTGGCCCTCTTGCTATCAGTATAGGCCATGGTGTGTGTTACACTGTGGTACATTGGGCCTATTTGTTGATAGTTCTATGCTAATAGGGGGTAACGTTACACGTAAGTCACAACCGGAGGCCCCACAACACGTCAGATAAGCTAACCCTAAAAAAGTAGTATAAAAATCACAACCTAGCAGATATAAGCAATGAAAAATAGTTACAGCTCAGTTAAATAGTGACAAATCATTTTTAAATAAATGTGCGAGCTGTCCTCGACTCGCTCCATGTAGCTAGCCTCATTGTCTTTGTTTTGACGGCGCAAGGGGAAACGAGTACAAGGTTTCAGGACATTTAAACCCCTGCATTTACAAATGAACAGCACGACGGGTTTAGAATAAAATACCGACTTGTGTTCTCAACGACATAACATGCCAGGCCTGGGATATATATTGTTTGAACAAAATAACGTCTTACCCAATCCTAAACACTGACTGCGGAAGCTGAATCAATAGCTTTACCATAAGCACAGTTTTGTCAGTAATTACAGCGACAGTCATCATGTGGGTACGTATCCTAACGTTTATAAAAGCTAGTTGCATGTGTGTCCGTGACTGTCAGTTCATATTGATGGCCAACTCACCTCAAACCGGCTCCGCGAAACACCATTTGCCTCCTTCCCCATGTCGGGCGCTGGTTACCGACTCAATGAATTCGATGTTGGCGCAGTAAAATGCAGATACGGACCCTCTTCCTGACGATTCCCCTCCACGACTATCATGCTACCGTTCTTCGGTAGCTGCTGCAGTAAGTTGTTGTTTTTGGCCTGTAACGCAAACGACAAGACCTTGAGTTTCTGGTAAAAATGTGCTGCTGTTGTTGCTGCTGCTGCAGCAGTCAGCCAATGAACCAGCTCTACTATCTACTCGGTGGCCTCCTCCTCCTCCTCCCCCTTTAAAGCTTTCCATCCATCCACACAATAACCAGACAGGAATAGGATCAGCTAGCCTAAAATGGAACTGGTTCTACACCCACATCACTTAGAAATAATAAATATGATGATACTGCTCAGAGGCATGTATTGCCCAAACACAGCAACGACTAGGATACCTTATACTTAGGCCTACTTGCTGGCTGATCTTAACCAAACTTTGTAGTATGGACCCAGTACAAACTCAGAAGCGAAAATAAATATCAACGTGGGGGGTGACAGCAATAACAAATCACCTAATTTAAGTGCATGCCTAATAATGCATGTTGTGATTTATTTACACATGAAGGGCCTGCCACTGAACTGTGGGACAGTGTTCAGATTTTTTTTTGTAGTGTACTGTAACGGCCATGCAGAGGATTTGGCCTTTTATGGCACTTTAAATGTTCTTTAGCTTTTATTTTGTCACGTGTTAACCACAAGCATAGACTGTAACTTTGTTATTGTCGTTGAAAACGCAACTTCCTAGTTTCTCGTTGACCACGCCCCGATTAGACAGTACATCCAATCAGCATTCAGAGAGGCGTCTCGTCGTACTGCATTTTCATAGTGGGGAACACATGACTGACAGAAGCTCAATGTCGACTGGAATGTCACATCATTAGACTATTATTTATTTGCTATTTTTATTTATAAATATTAGGCTATTATTATGTACCTGAAGACACTTGAAAAGGTAGGCTTGAGGTGTTTTGAGATGTACCATACTTAATAATCGTGAGAACTACAGTCTGTAGGCAGAATAATAATAATAGGCCTATAGTGTATATGGTATAATAAAGATCCCCTCCAGGGTCCAGGCATGACAAAACATATACACAAAAAGGTGTTTTTTCATGAAAAATTATTTAATTCAAATGTCTTAAAATGGCACCTGCACCTCCTCCTTTATTGCAACCCCCCCCAAAAAACACTGAATATGAAGATACAAATATTTTTCATTTCAAAGTTTAACTATACTGAATACCAGATGTTTCCTGCATCATTGCAAGACTATTCTCAATGTGCATGTGTGATGTGAGCTTCAAGTTTTCATTTCACACTTTGTGCAAGTTGGCAACTTGACTATGCAGGACTAGGTTCCACACTAATTGTGATTTCACAAATTATTTTCACAGATGCAGGTCTTAAAACTCAAATTTTAGGTGAGCACAGTGAAACTTTTTTATCTTCAACAGAATAAAAAAGTCAAAAGTCAAACCTCCAAGAGACATATCAATGATCAAAACACACTTTTGAGTGAAGGGAAACCTTCGGTACTTCCTAATCCATCAAACAGCCAAATGTAAAAGTTGTCACAACATTTATTTTCTTTTTGAGAGTCATTAATTAGTTTCCCACTAGCCACTAAGTTCAGTGTAAGCAGTAACATTAGGCTTTTGTTCTTGTAATATAAGCTACTGGAGAGCCCAACAGGGACTACATACATATAACTTCAGTCACATGATATTTGACTTGTTTTATGGAGTAGCCAAATGAATGATTTCACCACGAGTTCCACACACTTCATGCTAACTTTTTATTTATATGAAAACAATTTAAACTCCCAAAAGATAAAAACTATTATTCATTATAGGCAAAACATTTAGAGGTTTATTTTCTCATCTATCAATCAACACCATCAGGAAAGCAACTGATTGGTCCCATCTTCAATGACAAGAATCCACAACAGGCAGTGTGGTCCCCCAAACCCACTGATATGAACATCAAGGAGTGAGCCTGGGATTACATGAAGAGACAAAACACTGAGATAGTGTAAAACCTGAAGAACTGTGACCACAATTATTTTTCTGCTTGTTGCACTTTGTGTGAAATTAACTGAAAAATACTTCTGTAGTTGTGGCATTATGTTTGAAAGCATCCTAACTTTACTTTTGTACTAACATTTTAAATGTAATAAGCTATCCCAGTGTTTTTCTTTATTGATAAGCTTTGTCTCCACTCTTTTCTTTACCACCTGACCTGTGTCTCAAGATTTAACACCAATTTATTAGATGGTTCTGTCATATAGCCTAATATGCAGGCCTCTGTGCAATATCAAACTATAGCTAGCAATGTCAACAAAGGCTTCTATACTGCTTAGAAAACATAAATCACACTTCAGATCTTGATGATCTCATTATTTAAATTGAAAATCTTTACTAATGTACAGTATAATTTCTTCTGAACAAAATTAGTCAGTCGAAACCAAAATCATCAACCCTTGCAGGGCTGTATACTAAATCACACTGAAAATCAAAGTGAAAAAGTGAAAAATCACAGGCTCAAATATAATGCATGAATTTCATCACAGCAACTCATAATATGACTCAGAGTGTGTATGGCCTCTGTGTGCACTCCTGAAAACATCTGGCCATGCTCCAGATGAGTCGGCAAATGGTGTCATGGGGGATCTCTTCTCAGACCTGGATCAGGGCATCAGTTAGCTCCTGGACAGTCTGTGGTGGTAATTGTTGACCTTGGCTGTACCGACACATAATGTCCCATAGGTGATCAATTGGATTTAGGTCAGGAGAACATGAGGGCCAGCCAATAGCATCAATGCCTTCATTGTCCAAGAAGTGCCTACGCACATCGGCCACATGAAGTCAGGCATTGTCCTGCGCCAGGAGAAACCCAGGTTTCACTGTACCAAAAGGCTATGAGGTTTTCATCCCGGTACCTCACATCAGTCAGGGTGCTGTTGGCTGTGACATGGAGGTCTGTGCAGCCTTCTAAGGGTATGCCTCCCCAGACCATCACTGACCTACCACCAAATGGGTCATGATTGATGATGTTACAGGCAGCATAATGTTCACCATGGCATCTCCAGACTTTTTCACACCTGTCACATGTGCTCAGTGTGAACCTGCTCTCACCTGTGAATAGAAGGGAGCACCAGTGGTGAAGCTGCCAATTCTGTTGTTCTCTAGCAAATGCCAATCAGATTGTATTAGAGGATGTGGGGGCCTTCGTGACACCCTCTTGGAGTCAGTTTCTGACTGTTTGGTCAGAGATATTGTGTGTACCCCAGTAGCCTGCTGAAGTCATTACGTAGGGCTGTGGCAGTGCTCCTGCCATTCCTCATTACACATAGCAGTCCCGCTGCTGAATTGTTGCCCTTTTATGGCCCTGTCCAATTCTTCTGGTGTAATGCCTGATCTCCTGGTATCTACTCGATTCACTTGAGACTGTGCTGGGAGGCACAGCAAACCGCCTTGCAACTGCACATATGGACGTGTCATCTTGGCGTAACTAGACTACCTGTGCAACCTGATTAGGTTGCAGGTACTGCCTCAGGCTACCAGTATTGACAAGGACAATAGGAATTTCCCCACTGTGGGATCAATAAAGTCCTACCAACCAACCAATAGCTTCTTCTTCTCTTTATTTTGATTGGCAGTTGTCAAATGAACATATAGATGCATTACTGCCACCTACCAAACTGGAGTAAGTGTAACAGCTTTAAAATGATTACAGATGAGTACAAGGATGATAACCACACCAGAAGTTTATCTGGCAGAGCTCACCAGCACTGCAGAACTAGAAGAGTACCCTAATATTACACGCATACACCAGCAGCTCTCTCACAGTCTCCAGCACCAACATTACACAGCTTTTCCAAGGTTTTTGTAAACATATATAAATCTATGAATGCATAAACATTACAAAATGCAACAGAACATATGTACAGTAAACAAACAAGACTACTTCAACTAATTAATGATGTAATGAAACAAGAAGAAGAAAAACACTTAATACTGTAACATCCCTTCAAGACTAGTATGGGACACATTTAAAACACACAAACAGCAGCTCTCTCACGGTTTCCTACACCTGATCAGAATATGCTAATGAGGTATAATGTTCGTCAGATTAACATCAACAATACCCATCTTTTACCAACAGCGACAAGACTTTGAAACTCGTTAGTCATAACAAAGCATTACATTTTCATGCAAGCTAGAAACAATACAGGTTTTGCGTATGCTAGCTTAAACTCTAATAAGGGAGCATTACAACACATTTTGCAAACATTACGCAGCTTTTGCCGGGAATCTGGTGTTACCTCACCATGGAGGTAACAAGTATATACCAGTAATCAGGCCCCATTTGCAACAACAGGCAACTAAAAGTTATGGGCAGTTTAAACTGAAACTGACAGCGCAGAACAAATATCCTCAAACTAAAAAAATTACAACTAGGTTTTCAGAAAGTTCACACACACAAATATACAAACTGGCTCAACTACACAAAAACACTAGCAATTACAAAACTTGATAAGAATCAGTCAGGAAAGATAAGGGGACAGCATTTATCTGTGGCCACTGCATGCTTAACCATTCCCCTTTTGAGGGGAGGGGAGTTGTCTTGCTTTTACCTCTCCATTGCACCTGCTGCTATTTTCATTTGCACCAAATCAGGTGAAACTGATTCACCAATCATGTGTGTTTCCCAGATGGACAGATCAATATCCCTGTAGTTTAAGTGACTTGGTATTATACTGTGATGATCAAGTGTTCTTTTATTTTTTTCCAGCAGTTTATTAACCTGCTTTGTGTTCTCAAGGCAAAAAAATAAATAAATTCATGGCTGTTGTCCCTGTTAATCCCACACAGCACCACTCTCTGTCCAGATTTCTGTGCATTATCTGACAGAAAATTATTTAACAACAGATTTGCTCTGGTATTTGATTAATCTGTGGTAGACTATCATTTGGTAATGGAACCTTGCCTGTATACGCTAATGTCTCCTCCTTTACAGTTTCCTGCTAGTTAAAAATCAAAATCAGCTTAATCGTTCAATTTTCTAATAAATTATGAATGTGTATCATTCGCTACTACTTGACAGGTTAAAACAAATACTGTTCTAGTGGAAACTGATGCATCCCTTTGCGTCACTGTCTCGCCACCACCAATACAGTAGGCGGGTTATTTGTCAGAGTCCGCTCATGATAGGTTGTTACTAAGATACGTTGAAGACTGACACCATTCCGGCTTCCGGTTCATTCCGCTGTGCGCAGAAGTTGCTGGTCACAGGAGCCGCAATGGCGTTTGTAGTCTGTTTCAGATAGGGCTGTGGATGATATTAAATCCACTAGCATCGCCCTAAATATAGGCTTGGTTGATTCCCAGAGCAACTGATAATAAACTGGAACATCTACTGCACACGAAAATACTATGATTTCTAATCAATATTGAATTTATAGGGGATAAAACTTACATTAAAGGGAACATGTAAACAGTACCAACCGGGTCAAGTTTTCATTTTGTTCGAGAAACGAGCGTCTTTTAATGAAGACATTTGCTTGTTTCTAAATTCTAAGACCGTTATTCTGTGGAATAAAATCACGTTTACTAAACTTGGCACCGGACAAGGACAGCTTTCACAAAGGGACTTTTTTCTTTTTCTTGTCTGCGAGTCAGCTCGCTAGCTGCCGAGCATTAGCTAGCGGTGCTAGCTAAATTGAGACGGAGACGACACCAGAATGCTCCGATGTTTGGTTGGGATCTTTTTCATTCACTGACTTACATACTTTACAGATCTGGAAAACTGCCTTGGCGTATTTCTGTTTTGACGAACTACCTTGGCGATCTCTGTGGAATGAATTGGCTTTGAGGACTGGACGTGAGCGGCCTGGTGTGTTTATTTTCTGTAACCTTATTTTGTTGCCCTGTTTCTGCTTAGTAACACTTTTATTTTGCCATTTGGAGAAGCTTGTTTTCTTGTGAATGAACTGCCTGGACCAACGAGGCCCAGTCGCAGGAGAGGTACCGACGCCGGCGTGAGGGATGCCTGGCTCGGACCGAAACCATGGGACCAAGAGGAAGCCGGAACCTGGCATCAGCAGTGTGCCACACCAGACCCAGTCACCGGGAGACATGACGAGTGAAGACGGCAAGGTGCAGTTAAAATCTTCAATGTCCTCTTTGAAACGAAAACGGCATAAATCAACCAAACTAAATCGGGAATCCTTGGCGGCACCGGGGCCCGAAGATTTTACCCTCGGCGATACGGCGCCTCCTGGTGTCAATACGGTGAAGCCTCTAGTGGAGTACGATGATATCAGCTCCGACTCGGACACTTTCTCGGACCCGCCGTCTTCCAGGCCTTTTGAGAGGGGCGGTGAGGACCGGCTGGAGCCCTCACCAGAGGACGACAGGGACGATATCGGCAGAGTGAACAGGGGCCACAGGCACTCCCGAAAAAAGTCCAAGGACCCCAACAAAGTTAGAGACTCTGGGAATGGGGAACGTGGGTTCAAGAAAAAGAGCAGCAAAGACCGCGAGAAAGTGAGTTCTGGAAAGAGCAAGGAGAAGACTGTCTTGTTAGGCTCCTCGTCTAAACGCCAGGGCCTGTCAGAAGTTGACTCTAAACGTGGGGAGCTTATGCTTTCCTCCCAGGTACAGCCTGCAGCCAGTGTAGGTAGCACTACTTCCTCCACATCCTCATCTCGCAGCAAGGAGAGTAGCCGCTCAGGGAAGTCTCGCAAAGACAGGCAGCAGCGGAGAGAAGGCCGAGGGGAGGGCAGCCACAGCTCCTCCCAGAGGGTCCGGGCCGACAGGAGCCATCGTAAGTCCTCCAAGAGCCACAAGTCAAGTCCAAAGGGCAAGCCTTCAAGTAGGGGTAGCCCTCGCAGGAAGGGGACCAGCTCTGCTATGTCACCCAGTCCCAGAAGAGTGGTCAGCAGTGAGAGTCCGCTGGGCAGTGGTTATGGACAGCAGGGGGATGACTGCTACACCAGGCGGAGGGTGGCCCAGCAAAGCCCCAGTCCCTATGGGGATTTGTCTCGCCACAGCAGACAGAGATCAGAAAGCCCCTATGGCAGCAGACACAGGTCCTCTAGCTATGAGAGGGACAGCAGCCCTTATTCAAGAAGACGCTCCATCAGCCCTTATGGTACCCGCAGGTCCTCCAGCACCAGCCCCGTGTCTCGGTGAGTATATGCTGCAATGTTCTGACAAATTAAATAGCTTACATCCACATTCAGAAACATGCTGATACAAAAGTGTAGAATATCACAAGTGTTGCATGGAACATAACTGTAGAAAGCCATATGTGGTAGTATTTAGTGTAGTTCTGAAATATGTCTTGGTATTATTTGATCCAGGTTGCTACTTATTGGGTTAATAAACAAAAACAGCAACCTGGATTGTAAGTAAAAGGTCAGACAAACTGTTGAACCCACAGAGCTTTCTCCCTCCAGTACTATATGCTCTGCATGTTGAATTTCCTCTACAACTTTTTGACCAAAGTCTGAGGGTGAGGAAACTGAAAGTTGGAGGCAGAGTCAAACAGAGGTTTGTGTACACTTTACCTTCAGCCATTTTATTTTTCCAGTGCATAATGGCACCATGTCAAGGCCAACAATCCCATCTGTGCCTTCCATGTTTTGATGATTTCAATTGCATCCTAGATAAAGCCACTGTTTTATCCAAAAGCAAATTCAGGTCAACTTAAAAAAAAAAAAAAAACCTGGCACCTGGTGGTCAGAACATGTCACGTTTTTTTTTCTAGATCACAAAACATATTGACAGCCACTGTACTGGCATCAAACTCCTCGTGTTCAACATGCTTGAACAGTAAAGCTGATTCTGAAGATCAGTTATATTTTCATGGACCTTCACATTTCTCCACATCATACAGAGCCTATTAGAAGGCTTGTTGTCATTTCTAGTTGCCATGTTCGGTAGAGGCACGCGTAAGTTAAAACTTTACAGCAGACAGATTATTATTTGTAGGAGCAGAAAAAACGAGCCCTGACAAGTCTGGAAATGTCTTCAAAATGGCAAATATATTCTTGACTACTTGTGTTAATTTTTAACATTGTTCTTAGTTTCCCTTGTCATTTATTTTGAAAAAAAAAACTGACTAGAATGGAGTCAAAGCAAATATAAACTAGGAAAGGAAACAAAGAATGACAGTATCACTTAAATGAGCCATAAAGCTTTAAGTCCAATCTGCCTTTCAGTTTTGAAACCCACAGTTGTGTTACTGTTGGCTCATTTATTCTCTATTAACTTTTGTTATTTTCCAAATGAAAGGGTCCATGTTTTATTTTCATTATGATGTGATCCAGAGCCGTTTTTTTTCTTGTTAGAAAAGGTTGTTTCAGCAGACGGTCAGCTTTTTAAACACTCCCAGGTATCTGAAGTTTTTACAGCACCATGTAAGATAATTTTACAATTGTTTGTTTTATTTAGACGCTCAGGACGCTCCAGGAGTCGCTCCCCTCTGCACTATTCTTCTTCTCTTCGCTCGTCCTCTCGTTCCCGGAGTAAGAGGCATACTTCCTCTAGTGGTGCAGGGGCCACCTCCCACAGCAGTCAACCAGCTAGCCGCTCGCCTCCCTCCTCCAGCCTGCCGCTTAACTCCAGCCTGGGAGCGGAGCTGAGCAGAAGGAAGAAGGAACGCCAGGCTGCTGAGGCGGCTGCTCGTGCCAGTGGTGGTGCCTCCCCTCCTCCGTCAGTTCGAAAATCTGCTAGCTCCTCCTCCTCTTCACGACCTGCTAAAGCTGAGGCTCCACAGCCAGAACGAGAGCTGGCGACAGCAGCGGAACCTCAGCCCCCACCACCCACACAATTGCCCCAGGATGTTCCCAGTAGGGAGGATCAGGTGACTGTGCCTCCTGCCGTCCCTTTCACCACCTCTCCTGCAACTCCTCTCCAGCCCTCTCCTACTGTACCACCCAGTTCATCCGCCCAGGCTCCACCACGGCCACATCAAGCAGAAATAAGTATTCAGCCTCCTCCGCCCTCCACTACATCCCAGACCAAATCACCAGCTCCACCTACCACACGCAGCCCCGCCCGTCAGACCCCTCTGCATAAGACGTCGACTCTGCCCCCCCTGCCTTTACCACCTGTACTGCTGGGAAACACTCAGGACAGGTGAGGACACCAGACACACATACACTATCAGAGCACACTGTTCTCTAGGTAGGGTGAGTTCATTTGTGGTGTGACCTTAATGCACACTTAAGATATGGGCTCATTTGCCAGCCCACAGTTCACTTGCAGTAACATAAGACACCATTCATATCACTGTGCTTTTGTATTGTTGTCTGCTCATCACCATGTCAAGAAAAATTAACATGTTACAAGACTTTTAAGCTATGATAATTTATGAGCACTTTTTTATTTGTTAGAGAATTTGATCATTGTCATGCCACAAAAAAATAATGGCATACAGTGCCTTGCAAAAGTATTCATACCCCTTTTCCACATTTTGTCGTGTTACAACCACAAACTTAAATGTATTTTATTGGGATTTTATGTGATAGACCAACACAAAGTATCGCATTATTGCGAAGTGGAAGGAAAATGATACGTGGTGTTCAAGATTTTTTACAAATACAAATCTGAAAAGTGTGGCGTGCATATGTATTCAGCCCCCTTTACTCTCATATCCCTAAATAAAATCCAATGCAACCAACTGCCATCAGAAGTCACATAATTATAGTAAATGGAGTCCACCTGGGTGTAATTCAATCTCAGTATAAATACAGCTGTCCTGTGAAGGCCTCAGAGGTTTAGAGAATATTAATGAACAAACAGCATCATGAAGACAAAGGAACACACCAGACAGATCAGGGATAAAGTTGTGGAGAAGTTTAAAGCAGGATTAGGTTATAAAAACATATCCCAAGCTTTGAACATCTCATGGAGCACTGTTAAATCCATCATCTAAAAATGGAAAGCATATGGCACAACTGAAAACCTACCAAGACATGGCCGTCAACCTAAACTGACGGGGCGGACAAGAAGAGCATTAATCAGAGGAGCAACCAAGAGGCCCATGGTAACTCGGGAGGAGCTGCAGAGATCCACAGCTCAGGTGGGACAATCTGTCCACAGGACAACTATTAGTCGTTTTATGGAAGAGTGGCAAGAAGAAAGTCATTGTTGAAAGAAAGCAATAAGAAGTCCTGTTTGCAGTTTGCTACAAGCCATGTAGGGGAACAAACATGTGGAAGAAGGTGCTCTGGTCAGATGAGACCAAAAATTGAACTTTTTGGTCTATATGCAAAATGCTGTGTGTGGCGGAAACCTAACACTGCGCATCAACCTGAGCACACCATCTCCACCGTGAAACGTGGTGGCAGCATCATGCTGTGGGGATGCTTTTCTTCAGCAGGGACCGGGAAGCTGGTCAGAGTTGATGGGAAGATGGATGGAGCTAAATACAGGGAAGTGCTGGAAGAAAACCTGTTAGAAGCTGCAAAAGACTAGGGACTGGGGCGGAGGTTCACCTTCCAGCAGGACAACGACCCTAAACATACAGCTAGAGCTACAATGGAATGGTTTAGATCAAAGCATATTCATGTGTTAGAATGGCCCAGTCAAAGTCCACACCTAAATCCTATTCAGAATCTGTGGCAAGACTTGAAAACTGCTGTTCACAGACGCTCTCCATCCAATCTGACTGAACTGGAGTTATTTTGCAAAGAAGAATGGGCAAAGATTGCAGTCTCTAGATGTGCAAAGCTGGCAGAGACATATCCCAGAAGACTTGCAGCTGTAATTGCAGCGAAAGGTGGTTCAACAAAATATTGACTCAAGGGGGCTGAATACATATTCACGCCACACTTTTCAGATTTTTATTTGTAAAAAAAAAACTTGAACATCATGCATCATTTTCCTTCCACTTCGCAATTATGCGATACTTTGTGTTGGTCTATTGCATAAAATACATTTAAGCTTGTGGTTGTAATGTGACAAAATGTGGAAAAGTTAAAGGGGTATGAATACTTTTGCAAGGCACTGTATATCTGGATTAAAGTGATACACTTGTTTTGTGTCTTCGGTTTTCTGTGGTAATTAAAACATGCAGGAAAAAGCTGATTTTATTTTGTTTGTAAGCATCCTGCTTGTGCTTTGAGTTCTAACAAAAATAATAGGGCTGGACCCAATTATCTATTTGAATATTCATTTATTTGGTAGGTATTCAGTTTGTAATTTTAGCTTTCGAGCTACGAGCTACAAACAAATTTTCATCTAAATGAGCCATTTTGATTAAACAGTGTATTTGCAGCCAGCTGTCAGACGGTTGCACCGGGACATCTATAAAGTGCAACACCAAAAAGAAGTAGCACAAAAATATTCAATATCTTTGCTCTTTGACACATTTTTTTCCCAACTAAGTGTTGTGGTATAACCAACAGGAGACCAGTGATGTGTTAAGTGATTTTGGTGACACTAGACTACCCTAAAAGTGAAAATTTTTGTAGTGTCTCTTCTGGGTGTTGCACTTCGTAGATGGTCCCTGTGCCCTCGTCTTGTTCATTGTCATGGGTATGTGTGAATGAAGCCCTGAGGACCATAAAGTAAAAATGTCTGAATGACAGAAGACCATGTGTTTAACAGACTGATGAGGCAGCTGTGTTATGTAGCCTATTTCACGTCTGAAATGGGCTGTACTGTATAAACATGTGCTGCAGCATTAGAGACTTAAGTGTTCAGTCGTTCAGGTCAAAGCCCCCCCCCCTCCCCACTGCGTGCATTGAATAGTCGGATATTTGCCAATTATTACCTCCAGAATTCCAAAGTCCAACAAATGCCATTCGGGACAACCCAAAAAATAGTAAGCTGGGTGACAACATGGTCACCTGGGGTTCACAATCAAGGAGTGCACTTTTTTTTAAGTTCATGTGTAATTTCTGTTTCTCCGTGGCCTCTTTATGTACTTACATTTTTGTCTAAAAATCTTTGCATTTTTACTCGGTCAGCCCAAAGAAGTCCACCCCTCCTCAGAGGCAATCAAGGAAGGAGAAGGAAGGTCGCAGCCGGCCATCACTCATTGACCTTCCTTTACCGCCCACTTTGCCTGGAGGCGACTCGTCACCCCCACAGTTCCCCGTGCACCAGGCTGCTTCACTACCCCAGCCGGCCCTTAAGAAGAGACCAAAGTCAGTCTCTTCTATTACTCACCCACCTCCACTCTTCCTTTTGTTAATCCCACATCAAGTCTAACCCATTCTCTTTTTGATTGTTCCCAGGATTTGCTGCCCACGATATGGTGAGCGCAAACATACCCAGAGTGACTGGGGCAAACGCTGTGTAGATAAATTTGACATAATTGGCATCATAGGAGAAGGCACCTATGGTCAAGTGTACAAGGCCAAGGATAAAGACACTGGTAAGACGGTATTATCAAGACTTTACTCACTGAACTGTTTACATGTGTTCTCTATTTAAAGATCAGATTGTTAATATGTTTGATTCATTCCATATAACCATGCCAGGTGAACTGGTGGCTCTGAAGAAAGTGCGTTTAGACAATGAAAAGGAGGGATTCCCTATCACCGCCATCCGAGAGATCAAGATCTTGCGGCAGCTCAAACACCGCAGTGTTGTCAACATGAAGGAGATCGTCACTGACAAGCAGGATGCTCTTGACTTTAAAAAGGACAAAGGTAAGAGAGTCAACAGCTGTCTCCCAGGGCTGGTTAGTAAAGGTAATGTAATAGTAAGCCTATGGTGCAGAAAAGTCGCTGTTAATAACAAACATAATAAGAAGAATAAATAAAGACCAGGATCAATGTGAGTGTTTCAGTTAATTCGGTTATTTGGCAGCAGCTGAAATCACTGTGGTCACAGTACTGATTCACTTTGGCAGCCTGTTGCTAAAGTTTCAACCCACAGAGAGCAGTGCTGCAGGAGTTTTCTGCCCTGTGTGACTTAGTCAGCATTTACCTGCTAAGTTGGACTTAAATTTACATAAGATTATTGCTGGAGGTGGCTGTGCAATTATGGTTGTGCACAACAGGTCAACAGTTAAAACCCCTGTAACATACTGAGAAGACAAGCTAGATGTGATTTTCTGAGTTGGTCAAAGCACATGGCAAAGTAGCAGTGTTTCACATTATTTATTTTTTTTAACCACATTTTCCTCTATTGTTAGGTGCTTTTTATCTGGTGTTTGAGTACATGGACCATGACCTTATGGGCCTGCTGGAATCAGGCATGGTCCAGTTTTCCCATGAGCACATCCGTAGCTTCATGCGCCAGCTGATGGAGGGCCTGGACTACTGCCATAAGAACAACTTCTTGCACAGAGACATCAAATGCTCCAACATACTGCTCAACAACAGGTAAGGAACAGAAGACATAGACACCTGAAGACATAGACACCTTAAGCCTTTACCAGTCATGGGAGGAATAACTGTATCAAGTGAATTTTGCTGTGTCAGTACTGCCTATGCAGAATTATGTTAAAATATAGCTATAAAATATTATGCACAGACCGTTTAAATGCAGCTCCTGTCTTTAAATACTGTAAAGTCAAGACCAGAAGCAGCCTAATGCAAACCGTAATGATCGAAATGCAGTTTTTCAAGGTAATTATAATGCTATTGATTTAAACGAGTGCTTCAAATAACCCCAACTTCTCGAATTGCAATATATGGTAATGAGGATAATGTGGATTTTGCTGAGTAATGGAGTACTTAGAGCCGCGCTGTTGCTGCCCCACCACTCTACAATGACTAACTAGAGACTCAGAGTATGGACATCTGTTGCCCCACCTGTCCTGTCAGTTGTGGGGTTTGACCAATTACTTGTATTTGGTTGTTTACTTTCTCAAAGTACAGTGGTTGTTTTTCATTCATTTACATTCATTGTGTCAGTGTTTTGTAAAAGGAAGGCAGATTTTGAAATCATCAGTAATTGCAAGTTTAAATAAATATTCAAAGTAACCTGCCTGGCTTTCTTCACGAGTTGTTTTGTGTCCTAAGTTGTGACACTAGTGGGAATATTTACTAAGGTTTTGCAGCTCGTTTTCTGATGCTAAAAGATGATGTTTCACGTGTTTCTTATTTACCAAGAAATTGCAGTTAGACTTTCACCTAAAAAGAAGAGAAGAGGTACCGGTGGAAGTTGTGGACTTAATTTCAAGCAATATGTATTTTAAGGCGTTCCCATTCAGGGACGCAAAGTAATGGAGGATTTACCACCGTATTGCACTTGAAGGAATAGTAGGTGAAATTTAACATCAGGAGAAAGCCAGAGGGACATTTCCAAGCTTTAGATCACACCATTCTTCAGTTACTGAACAAAATGAATGACTACATGGTTGCAGTTTAGAGATATGTTGGTTTCTTCAACTAATATTAAAGTTCAGTTTCTGTAAACTTACTCTTTCTTTTACACTGTGTCTCGGTGCTCACGTGCGTAATGCAGTCACCAGCCTCTTACCAGCAGAAGTCCAGTTAAATTAACTAGCAATGCTCTTTTACTTCTGTACTGTTATGTTTATAAGATAATTTACAACAGGTTTAGTAAATTTAGACAGATCATGTGTTCTCGTTCTTGGTGGTGTTCCTAATCACAGCTTTTCACCTGTCTGTCTTTTTCAGAGGTCAGATCAAACTGGCCGACTTTGGTTTGGCCCGGCTTTACAATTCAGAGGAAAGGTAAAGCAACAGTGTTTGTCATGCATATAACATTCTGTATGTGCAGAGAGAGCCACTTCTGATTAGAGATGCACCAATCGGTGGAAATCAGAAATTGACTTTTTTTTTTTCCTGTGTGATCGGCCTTGTCCGGTGACCTGCCAATCAGATTTAGAGGAACAACAGTCAACCATGCGTGCACAGTGGCAGACACCCAAAGCATAGGGTGTAGCACACTTAGCATCCTGCGTGCACCTTGGGCAAAGTTTGCACTTGGGTCTGTACATGTTCGCTCGTGTGTTGGATGCGCTTGGCTTACAAACAGCACACAGGGGAGCCCACAGAAACACCTTGGAGAGGGGGAAGCTACGTCCAAATCTCCGGGAAATAGTACAGTGGGAGAATTACTGGCTACACATGTAATGCATGTATATGTACAGTGTGTCCAGCCCCTGTAAAATGGCAAATACAAACTACACAAAATTGGTAGGAGTGATGTAACAGACCTTCTTTTTGTTTCTATTACCTGTTGCACTTGTTTAAATTTGGAGAAGTGCAAATATTGCACTTAATTCGTAGTTGGTTGGTTAAAAAAAAAAAAAAGCGAGAGAAATATGGAAATGTAAAACCTAGTGTGTTTTTGTTCCAGTTTTTCATTAAAGAAAAGTTACAAAAACATCTGTATGCTTTCAATTACAGTTGGGGGAAAAAATCAGTGCATCTCTGCTCCTTTTGCACCTATTTGTTTCAAATATTTACTTTAGTTTTTCTTTCTCTGTGTCGTCTTCAAGTATGCATAGGGAATATCAGATCAAATTTAAATGTATGATTAAGTGTTTGTGATGATGGGAGCAGTAATTAAACCTCATGATGAGCTTGAATTTGACTCTCCACAAGATGGTGCTGTCTCGCCTTCACATTCATCCCAAAAGCTGAAATGTTTGTGCTGGGCCAGATAGGTGCTCTGTCAATGTGTGTCTCTCATCTTCCTCTCTCTTTTCATTGCCCCCAGCCGGCCATACACTAATAAAGTAATCACACTATGGTACCGACCCCCTGAACTCTTGCTGGGGGAGGAGAGGTACTCGCCAGCCATTGATGTTTGGAGCTGTGGGTGAGTATGACACTGTCTGTTCACTCACACTTACTTTATTTGTTCTTTTACAAACTTCTCTGTTCTCCTGTAGTACAGGCTTCATGAACAACAGATTTCATATATGAGTACATACAGATTTGGACTAAAGTTTTGTTGGGTGAAGCAACCTTTCATTCAGATGAACATAGAAGCTTCAACACTATCCTGTTTTTTGGAAAATAAGCATTAAATGTGACATTTTAAGTGCTTGGGGGTGGGGTGAGGGTCAAAAATAACATTATTTATGAAATGTTAGCTAACCAGCTTCTTTGGCTAACCTAACTTGTCTAATTCAGTACATGTTAGGAATTTCTTGTAGAACAGGCTGCATTCTGCTGTCTCTATTGTTACCATTCACAAGAATTACTCCCCAACAAAGTTTTAGCCTATTTCATGTATTCTTTGTTGAGGCTAACCTTATCCATGGCTATAACCACCATCCTGAGTTGATGCTGCCAGTCACACAAACGTTCGTCCAAACACCAATTGCCGATTGACACATCGTCCTGTTGCCGGCTTACATTTCATTTTTAGATCTGTTATTTTTCAGCAAATATAGCTCACTATTGTTTTTACATTCATTCAGCTTAGGTGCTACACAAAAACACCTAGGTGCTGTGCTCTTTCTGTGGTAGGGAAAACACTGCTCAAGTAAAAGTCTTTTATTTGGATGCGTACTATTCAGAAATATGACTTGCTTTAAAAAAAGTGATTTTTGGTGTCAATCAAAACTGACAGGCGTTTGCACTTTGAAATGGTCTTTCAGGTGTATTCTGGGGGAGCTCTTTACAAAGAAACCCATCTTTCAAGCTAACCAGGAACTTTTACAGCTGGAGCTCATCAGGTAGGCTGCCCATCCCTGACGCACTGCATCCACCACACCGCTATTTCTTAATCACTGCCTCAATATCTCTGTTCTTCTTTTCAGCCGTCTGTGTGGGAGTCCTTGTCCTGCAGTTTGGCCCGATGTCATTAAACTTTCCCTTTTCAACACCATGAAACCCAAGAAGCAGTACAGACGGCGACTACGGGAGGAGTTTGCCTTGTATGTCGCCATGCTGCTCTTTCCTAAATGTAGCGGTGATCAACTCTTTGTTTCTACAGCTGAAAAATCTTTCCTCCTCTGCACAGTTTACCTACACCTGCCCTGGATTTGCTGGACCGAATGCTGACCCTCGACCCTGCACGGCGCTGCACGTCCGAACAGGCTCTCAACAGTGACTTCCTGTGTGATGTGGAGCCCAGCAAGATGCCGCCCCCAGAGTCAGTTGCTCGTGGCCTCTGTCCTTACATTATCAGATTACCAATAGAATCCACAAAAGCACATGAAAATAACATTCTTACTTTTATTAATATATAATGTATTTTTATTTTTTAATATTTCTTAAAGATAGTTTAGAGCATTGTCTAAATGCACACGGCTTACATATGTCTTATTGTTTCTGGTGATCCCTGTGTTTGATATGATTCATTTATATCGGTAGTTTTAAGAATGTTTTGGCTTGTCTGCCCTTTCTGCAGTCTTCCACACCATCAGGACTGCCACGAGTTGTGGAGTAAGAAGAGACGGCGTGCACGTCAGAGCGGGCTGCCAGAAGATACATCTGTGCCCAAAGTGCCCAAGAAAGATGCAACAGGAGCCTCCAGCGGAGAGAACAGTCGGCACCAGACCAGTCCGTCTGGAGCCCCACCACCTCCACCGGAGAAACCAGTCTGTACCACCAACTTGGAGAGTGAGTTGTCAGGTAACAGAGAAGCGTTTTACCAGAAACACATACTGTACCAGATTTGGTAAACCCAGACTACATTCATATCAGTACTTTCTTTAATTGGTTTTTTAGGGCAGTTTGTCTTTTTATTAAAAAGCAAAAGCCGAGAGAAATGGGAGAGAATTGAGGGCCATGCTCTGCATCCTACCCCCGCAGGCCATTGGGGTGCCCTAGCATAGTCTTAGGAGTATTTTCAGATTGTTGTATTATTACTGTTCTGTTTCTTACCATGTTAACAGTGATGGGATGGCAGTACACTGACACACAGCTGCAGAGCTTGCAAATGAAAAGTAACTTAGAATAATGTGGACATAGTAAATGACCTTTTTGTTTGCACTGTACTGTATGTCCATAGTGAATTCTGGTTGTGTGGATGTGTGTGTTCAGGCCTGGAAGCTGCTGCAGAGCACTTGAACCAGACGGAGTTAGCAGTGCTGATGAACCTCCTCCAGGGGCAGACAGAGCTCAGCCTGCCCCAAGTGGCACAGCTCCTCAACTTCTCTAATCCAGAGACTCTCAGCCAGTCATTGTCTGCCCTCAGTGAGGCTATTGACCACCAGGGGGCTCAAGAGGACCAGACTCAGCCTGCTGTCAGGTCCCAGCCCCCTGAGCCGCCACCTGAACCCCAGGAGTTCTCGCCGACATCTGCAGATCTCAGCCAAGACGACCAGGCCAACCTGCTGGCTCTCATTTTGGGCCACATTATGAAGCCTCAAACCGAGGAGCAAGGCAATGAAACAAATGGCGACCAATCAGAGGAGGCACTAACACGCGGTTCGTCCGCCTCTACTACTGATCGCAAGGGCAAGTCTGGGTTTAGTCTTTAGAGGGTGGAAAAACGGGGAACCAGGGTCAGGTGAAAAACACTGGGGACTGCACAAATGAGGAGAAGAGTAGGGCAGAGAACAAACAGAAGCTGACCGAGGTCTGGTACTCAGGATTCCTGTACATGCTATCAAATTAATTACATTTTAGACTACATGATGAAATGAGCAAAATGAAAAATGAACCAAATGAATCAGGCTAATTGACCTTTTCGCGTTCCCCTTCCTTTTACCCCTGACATTCCTAAAATACATTTACTCACTATTGTCTCTTTTATCAGTGGCAAAAATGCAAAAGAAAAACCTGGAAAAATGTCTGTGTAACTAGGCAAAGCTTTGGTGCACATGACATCTCTCACCGGTGTACTTAATAAATCAAAATAAAATGTAGTGTTATTCATTGGAGTGAAAAGAAAGCTTCACACTGTATTGTTCCCTTCCACATGTCTCCCTTTTCCTTGTTTCTTTCTCACAGTCTTTGTTCTCTATCTGTCCCACTTCCACGTTTTTCCTTCCTCACTTCATTTTCATTATAAAGCTGATTTTGAGGATTCTTCATAGGAAACAATGTTGCTTTACGCAGTCTGTAATGTCAGCCTTTTTATGAAGAAAGTAATAAATTATCAAGTGAAAATAAATGTTTTGAATCTTTAGACCTCACCTGCATGTGTCGCTTTTAACTTTGGTTTGTCACACATTTTTTTTTGTTTGCTTTTAACTGTTCACTGACTCAGATAATAGTTAAAAATGTAATTAGCAAGTTAAATAAAACTGGTCACTATAATGCTGGTGCTGGAGTGGTAACAGCCCTGTTCTGGTTATTTCTCTTGTCAAGGTCTCTGAAACCCTTACAGCCTCGGCCCACCTTGGATTACTGTTGTTTGGGGAAAAACAGGAAAAAAAAAACTCTTCAATTAATACTTAAGTTTCTCCTTAAGTCACCCTTTCTGTTCATCCAGCTCTACATGCTGTTCCTTTTGCTGAAGGCGGTTGTTTAGGGGGAAACAAAAGCAACTGCATAAGTTGTGCATACATGAACTCATCTAGCTGGCTAAGTTTAGCATCTGTACAGTAAAGCTGTTTTACTGCTTAATGAGCATTGGATGATAATTACTTTAGGATAAAACACATTTAGCTAACCTGATAGGTTCATGGTTATATATTATTCATAGGCCAGATATAACATTGTTTTGTCTATTTTTCGTACCATATCTAAACAATGACACGGTTCACAAAGTCACGATTGATTGCAGCAATATTTAAGAGTATTTAATTTATGTAAGCCCTGATAGCTACTGAAATAAGCTTGATCTGAAGATGCACCCTGCCCTCCTCTTTGTGCTGAAGGTAGGAGTGTCAAAAATACAATTTAACTGAAGTTGATAAATGCAGTTAAGGGTTAATATATTGGTAGTCCACATGTTGAACTTAAGTTGAGCTTTTTGTGTCAAATGTTCCTTGATATGTACCTTGACACTTAACATACCGTCCTCTGTCTGGTTTGGCCATTTCCTGGGCCACCTCCATCTGCTCTTCTTGGAAACGCCCAGCCGGCTGGGTCAGAAACTCAACCCAGCCAGGACATCAGTCCTGCTGTGGCAGCTGCCTTGCTTCAGCTCATCTCCCAACAGGACTCGGAAGCTGGGGCCCCTCAGCTCAGCAAGAACTCCTCTCCAGTTGCGGATGCTCCGGCCCGGGGGCAGCCTCCAACACCCTGGGTTGCAGACTCTCCAGCTCAATCTTCAGCTGCAGCTGAGACCTCAGCAGGACTGGTGACTGCTGCTGCCACCACCCCAGCACAGTTTCCAAAGGACCAGGATCTTCGATTTTCCCACGGAACTGCCCGCTGAACCTGAATCCCCTGGTGAGACAGACCTGGGTGTGTTGGGACCAGCGATCCTGGTCTGAGGGCAAGGCAGAAGGTCACCCACAGATTATGACCATGAGCAGGTAGTGAAAGCTGAATCAAAAGTTTTGTGTGTGAAAAACGGGACAGATTAAGGGTCTTTCCAGGTATAGTTATATGGTCATCGCTGCCCTTTGAACAGGTGTTTTGGTGGCAGTAGTTTTGATCAGGAGTCTGTCAGACCTTAACCCAGTTAGGGACTCTCCCCACCTGCAATCCTTTGCTTGTACCTCTCTGCTGATGGCTGTGGCTTGAATGAAGTTTTTCTTCCCAACTGAGTGCCATTGCAGCTGACACTCAACTTTGACAGCAGCTGTGATTTCCTTCTTTCCCCAAAAACAAATGATTGCCATGTCCACTGCAGTGCCCACTTTTAACAAAGTTAGTGTTCTCAAGCATCAAGTCATTGTCCTCTGCGATGGAGTGGAGTCTGTGATGGTGCAGTTGAGTATAAGCTGAAGCTAAAATACTGTGTAGACTTGAAGTAATGAGCACACTGATGAGAAAACTGGAGGATCTTGAGTTCCTGACGAAGCTTACATGCTGGCTGGCACCCCCACTTTCAGCCTGTGGCTCTGTTGTGACCTCAGCAACCCCTGAATGATCTTGGCCAAGTGGGGAAGTCGGAGTTAAGTTTCTGCTTTGAATGACTCCTAACACAGTGTATGCGTGCAGGACTGCAGGGTTTTTTTTTGTTGTTGTTGTTGTTTTTTGTTGATGTTTTTTTTTTTTTTAACCCAAAGGCTGTTCCATGATATATTTCACCTGTCTTCAAATCAACTGAACTGCAGTGTGTTCTTAGCCCATCTGAAGCTTTTCCTTACTCAACATACACTAAATCTCTGTCGTAATAAGCCTAAGCCTGTAGTGCCCATGTTCCTGTCTCAAATACGGATTCAACTGCAACATTATAATGGACTGCTTCACAATACACGTGCATTCTGCTAGTTGAAGTTTAAAGCTAGAAACGCACACACAGACCTTTCTGGCTTTACCTGGTGGACTCTGAAATATGTCTGCCCCTCACCTCCCTGCCAGCTTGTGCAACAAAGGCTTTTTCTTTGTTTTGATGCAGTTATTTTCTACATGAAAATGGATACTTAGAAAAAATAGGTCCATGATTGTGTTTCCATTTTTTTGCTTTGGAAAAGAAAAGGGAGGAGAAAATGATTTAATGTGTCTGTAAAGACAAAATTTTGTAATGTTTTTTTTTTTTCTTGGTTCCGTTTATTAAAGGAAGTCATGCGACCAGTGAAATTGTCCCTCCTGATGTTTCTGAATGTTTTTGTGAAGCGGCCACTAGATGGTAGACATTCACTCATCTTGTATGTAGCTCATACAGGAAGTCATGGGCCTCTGCAAAGCCTGATCAAAAATCACAACTGCAGTAAAAGCCGAATGAGTTTGTTTAAATACAACTAAAATGAAACAAAAAACAAAACATGCATAATTACAATTTAAACATGGGCTTAATGAGGGTTAGATATTGTTTTTATATTAGTTTTAACAGGCACATAATTTGGTCTCATGGTTAAACCATTTTTAAAAGAACACCTAGTTGGAAGAAGACAAAGCAAAAATTATTGTGGCTGTTCAAATAGTATTTTCACTGTGGAGCGCGGTAGGTTTTATAATTCTCTGTATACACTGCCTCAAATGTATATAAGTGGCACAGAGGTTTGTCCCAGACAGTGCTGTGAAGTGCTCCCTGTATGCATCAGTCTTATTTATGTGCCGATTCCTTCACCATGTGTGTTGATCTCTTCATGACGGTCTTGACAGGCAGACAAGGACCATAAACTGCAGATTGGCAAAGACTGTAGTCTGCAAGGTTCATGCAGACGGGCTGTGTGTGTGCACATTTGCGTGCGTGCGTGTGTGTGTGTGTGTGTTTGTTGTAGTAGCGGCCTCATGCATACCCAGACCAGTTCCCCACTTGGCAGGCTTACAGAGCCGCTTACCCCTCTGGCCCAGCGAGCAGCTGAGCCCTCTGGGTGCGAGATCCTTTCAGAGTGGAAGCAGTGAGAGGCTCACCTGCCCTCTAGCACAGGCCCAGTGTGAGTGAGATGAGACGACGCAGTGTGTACGTGTATGAGCGTGTGTACGTGTATGTTTCTGTCTGATGCTTTCGCCCATCGGGACTCCAAATAATAGCGAATGTGCCCACGGGGAGTTTCCACAGGAGAAAGAGTGGGCAATGCCAGTGCCAAGTCACAGAGACTAGACGAATAAATCAGGACTGAGGAGTGAAGAGAGGGGGGTGAGCGAGGCTGTGCCATCAATCAGAAAGGCACCTTATGGGGAATGCCCATTAATGTGCCATGCTGCCAGTCTGAAGCCCGTATTCGCCATGGCAGAGACAGGCGACAACGGCAATCCAAATGGAGCCTCCATTTTGGATGCCGTCGCTACACTGTCAGCTACAGTGATTTTGGTGGACATCCAGACAAATAGTGAATAGTGATTGACAGCCCACTTCTGTCAGTTCTTGCCAGATATTATTCATGAAATTGTATTTTTGTTTCACAGATCGGTCCGGTGTTCTCAGTCTTTATGCAAACTGATTGTTAGAGCACAAATTTAGAATCTACATGCTACATTACTATAGTCTCAGCAGCTGGATACCCTTTGTCCATTATTATGAAATCTGGCAACACTGAACAAATAGCAGCTGGCAAACCTAGCTCTCACATCACACATCTGCCTAGTCCCCAAATAACTACAAAGAGCCCTTAAAGAAATGTTTTCGGCTTAAATGCATATGACCCACTGGACAAAATGCTGATTGACTGTTGAATTTTAGGAAATAGGAAATATCCCACTAGCTAGTATAGAAAGTCTGTTAAAGCTGTGACTTTTCAGACACTGCCTTTAAGCTCAAATGGTTGTTTTTTTTTTTAGCTAAAATTAAGATATTCATTTTTTAACTTGCCACAGAAGAGCAATGTAGAATCTTTAGTAAAACATCCAGCTAATCATTCTGTCTCAACACTTTAATTTGGCAGCAAACTCGCACAGGAAGCCAAAAGACTAAGAAGAGGGCAAACTGGGACGGAGAAGACTGATGGACAGCCGAGGACACCAAACACTGAATGGCTCTTGAGGACAACAGTAAGATTTCTTTTTTTTTTTTTAATCCTGCAATTTTCATTTTGAGCTTGAGGAAACATTTTAATTAATCAAACACTGAAGGATATTTTACACATGTTCACTCAATGTTTTTAGATTCAGATTACGCTTTATTATTTCAGCATTCTGTTAAAATTAAAAAAATGCACAGTTTGAGATGCGACTCTTGCAGGCATCATTTTTATTGCTTTTTCATGGTATTGTGCTAAATATCTAGATTCAGTTTGAATGTGTAAAATATGGTCTGCACTGGTAAAAATATCTTTTTAAAACAAGTTATGTATCTCGTGCTCTAAATTGCAGGTACTAGCTATATTGTATGTGTGTGTTCCAGTGTCTGTGTGCAGCAGTTAGAATGTGCATGAATTCTTGCATTCATATATTTAATATATATATATGTGGGGGGGGGGGGGGCCAGCCTTGGGGCAGAGCTGCTGTTGTCTCTCTCAGCCATATTATGGTTTGATGACCGAGGCTGTTTTATCAGTGACTATGTGTAAACTCAGTGAGGGGAGACAGGGACTCTCGCAGTCCCACATCTAAAACATACACACATGTAAAGAGATTTAATGAAGCACAGGTAATGTAAAGCAGGAATTGTAAACTAAACATGCAAAGAATGATATCGGTGGATCACATTTTTGCCTGTATAATGCACCCCTTCATCCTTACAGTTGAGCGACAGAAAAAAAAAAAGAATGCATCTTTCATAGTTCAGAAATTCTGCTGTTTTCATCAGAT